TCGCGCTGCGTAGTCCTCTTTATTTGCTCCCTCCTCATCATCGCTGCTATCGGCCGCGAGATACATTCCTTTTTTCATATCCTCATACATGCGCACCTTCTCTTCCATGCGCCGCTTTGACCGGCCCAGCGCCGCCGCATCCGCGGACCCGATGTCCTGGCTGCGCTGGTGGACTTGCCCTGAGGACTCATCTTCCAGATCCGCCGCGGCGCGCTTTTGAGATCCCTTGTTGGGCTTGGAGAAGAGGTCGGCTTTTGCGGTTTTGGATGGACGTGGGCGTCCTCGGGAGGTGGAATCGGAGGTGCCCTGGGAGATGAGTGAGGAGAGTTGGGTCGTGAAGGAGAGATTAGAGGAGGAAGGCTGATTTGCTTGTGTACTGGACTTGGAGCGCGGCTTTCCGTATAAGGAGGAGGATGGTGGATTGGGTGGCATCTTGGTGGATTGAATGAAAGAGAGAGATGAGGCGAGGCAAGAAAGAGTAGATGCGATAACGATAACGATAAGAGTTAATGCCTCAGGTATGAGGTTGACAATAAATGAGTCAGCGTATTACTCAGCCCGATTTTCGCTGCCCCGCGACCCCACGGCCAACATCCGATCTGAAGAACTTAAGATATTATTCTTTCTGCTGCTTTAATTGTTGCAATTTTCTGCTTGCAGTCACACTGCTTACTGATAAATACCCTGTTGCAATTTGGATCACATACTCCAAAAACCCACCCCATTGAACCACTATGTCCGCCAGCCCTATCTATCTCGGCGTCGTTGGTACAACACCCACCACCTTTCACCCAAGAGAACACAGCTGACATGACTAGGCGTCGGCGGTGTCGGTACTGCATTCCTCTCGCAGCTTGCGCGCCTTCCCAATGCGCCGCAGCTGATCCTCCTTGCCCGCTCATCTCAAACCCTTCTCGCCCCGACACCGGCGTACTCACCGGCCATCCCCGTGGCCGACTGGGCGACTGCCGCCGCGACTCCCTCGCTGACCAAGACCAGTGCTCTACCCGCAGAGGAGATGGCGAACTACCTAGCCTCCGCGCCGGGGCGAGCTATCCTGGTGGACAACACGTCAGACATCAACCTGGCGCGGACGTACCCTATCTTCCTGAAGAAGGGCGTGTCGGTGGTGACTCCGAACAAGAAGGGTTTTTCTGACGATCTGTCTCTATGGAAGGATATTTTCGCTTCGGCTGCGCAGGGCAAAGCCCTGGTCTACCACGAGAGCACGGTTGGCGCCGGGTTGCCGGTGCTGTCGACGCTGAAGGACCTGGTTGCAACTGGTGATGAGGTTACTCGTATCGAGGGTGTTTTCTCGGGCACACTGTCATTCCTGTTCAACACTTTTGCCCCTGCTTCCGGCTCTTCGAATGCGCAGTGGAGCGCTGTCGTCTCCCAGGCCAAGGACCTGGGCTATACTGAGCCGGACCCTCGCGATGACCTGAACGGCATGGACGTGGCACGTAAGCTGACCATCCTTGCCCGTCTGGCTGGTCTCGAGGTTGCCCGTCCTGATGCCTTCCCCATTGAGTCGCTCATTCCCTCCGAGCTGGCCGCGCTTCCGTCCTCGTCGGAGGGAATCACCCAATTCATGACTCGCCTGCCCGAATTCGATGCCCAGATGTCTACCGTCAAGGACACGGCAGAGAAGCAGGGCAAGGTTGTGCGTTATGTTGGCAGCATCGATGTCGCTAATAAGGCCGTCAAGGTTGGTCTCCAATACTTCGACAAAGACAGTGCCATTGCCGGCCTGAAGGGCAGCGACAATATCATCAGCTTCTACACCAAGCGGTACGGTGCCAACCCGCTTATTGTGCAGGGTGCTGGTGCTGGTGGTGACGTCACTGCCATGGGCGTGTCGGCGGATCTGCTCAAGGTTATCGAGCGGCTGCACTAGATTGGGGGAGTTATAGAAACAAAAGTAGTTATGTGAAAAGTGTATACAAATGAAGCAGTTCGAAATCAGCTCGAGGATGTAGAATATTGTTTATCATAGCGAGAATTAGTGAGTTAATTCTCCATCTTATTCATACCGGCAGGCGGAGAAGGCAGATCTGCAGTTGGCTACCAATTCCAGAGATAGAGATATCGCAAACTTGAGACTGGAACTTCTACAGAAGCTTTAGATTGAAGATAACAATTGTCGTCAGGTAGAAATAGGTCAAAAAGTTCTTAAAGAATTAAGAACTATACCACTCTTCAGAACACCCAGCTTAAGGGTGGGGGATGTCTTGCATCAGCATTTCATCAGTAATGCTCGTGTCATGGAAGTTGGAGAGTATGGCACTCGAAGTCTGATCAACCGAAATATCATGGCTTCCAAATATACTTTTCAATATCAGTGACATAATTAAAGGTGCAGTAAAAGATAGACTTACCGATCGTAAAAGTCACTCATGGCATCCAGACCAGGTAAAGAAGTATCTAGATTCTCAAGGCAATGCAAAGGATCCGAACAATCAGGAAATAGTCCCCACTCCGTGAGCTCGTAGAGGACCTCGGAAATCATCCTAGCCCCAAATCCCGTTGTTCCCATTGTTTGAAGCACCTTCAGACAAGAGCATATATCTTCGAATTGCTTCTCGCCTTTCGTTAAAGCAAATACCGAAAGAAATATCTGCAGGATATCCAAGGCATAGTAAAAGTCCAAAGCAATTAATTTTGAGTAAGTGCTTTCACACACCATTGTCTGCAGAATCCCTAACATTTGTTCAGCAGAACTCAGACAGACCTCAGTGAAATGCTCAAGACAAGGCGATTTCAAGCTCTCCTGTTGCCTCTTTCGACACATAAGGCGATATAGTAAAAATGAGCGGCCAATCAGGAGTTGAATGCTATGGTATCTCAGATGGAGAATGGCAATTGGTCGGCGTAGAAGTGGTGCTGTCGGGGCAGAAATACTCAGATGTGGTGGGAGGGTGTCGGCCCACTCTTGCAGTGAAGTCATCAAGAGCTTCACAGATCCCATTTCCAATCGCTGACCGCGCATAAGTGGGTTTTTATACAGATCACAACGAGCTTTTTTGCCTAGTTGGCTCAGGGTACTGCAGACCGCCAAGTATTCAGGAGGACTATAGGGACCGGAGGGCAATATCTGGATATTCAAGTTAAAAAAAAAACAAAATTACTGACGCTAGCGGGACCTGGAGAACTAATGAAGATAAGTAAAACTTACCACTTCAGATGGCAAGGGTGGCTGCCATGCATCTTCGGTTGCACAGGGCTTACCCAACCTCAACGCAAGGTCTTGGTCAAATACGACCAGGGACCACCATATCCGCCTTGCATGCTCTTTTTCAACACCTCCATAAGAGGTACAGTATTTGTCACAGTGAAGCCCTAGAGAACACGCAATATGCACAGCGAGACTGGTATATAGATAGGCTGGGTTTGAGAATCCATGTGATTGCATAGCCGTTGCCTGGTGAACAAGTCAGAACTCCCTACTCTTCGAAAATGGTCAAACCGCATACCAGTAATACCATAGCACGGACGCTATCGAGGCTTCCTTCATCGCATACCCCGGAGACGAAAGACTTTGCATGCTGGAGGTATTCCCCGGGACGATGTAATGAGGAAATTCTTCTGGGTACGGTGACCCAAGGCTTCCAATTGCAAAGATGGAATACAGGGCACATTTCCAAGATGCCGTCAGATCTTGTGATGGAACTCTGTATGTCTCCTCCAACTGACTGTGGAATCTTTCGGATGAGTACAGCCAATACAATGAATGAACTTCTTCGAAATATCGCATAACCAATTTTTGACAAGTTTCCTGAGGGGGCAAATGTACTTCGGTTTTCATATAATTTTCGGTAGGAACAGGCATGGACACTGTAACCATCCCTGGAATCACATCGGGTGGCTTTGGCATGTGCAATCTTTCTTCATTTTTGAAGCAGCGGATGGTGGCATTGAAGGGCAACGCCGACTCGGAACCCATATAACCTGTCCCCTATCAGATGATGCACCTCGTAGTATTGAGTAATATTGAAAACACCTAGAACTTACGATACTGCCCTTGGGAATCTTCTAGCAGGCATCCTAATCGCTGATGTAGAACGAACACCTCTTGCAAAACGAGGTTTTCTGAATCTTTCTCCCATTCCGCTATATTGCTCACAATTCCAGCTGGCGACGAATCAAATTCGGGTTCGAAGCCAGAGGTGGAAGCGGTTTGGAAGATGGGAGACAGAGAAAGAGGAGAAGCCGGCAAATCGTGTGAGATACTGTGGGAGGTTTTGCTTTTGCACTCCGCAGCAAGGGAGCGAAGGTTCTCGGGGCTCATGCTGGCTTCCGGGAGATAGTAGCTCAGTATATCTTGCATATTTCGAAACTCTTCCTCCGAAACGAAGTAGTACGGCCTCTGGCGTCGCTTTTCCAGGTTGATATGACATTCTGCCCCGGTGGTGCGACAGTAATCACAAGGGCCGGGAACTGAGTTTCCAACATTGCGTATACTCATCAGCCTCATATATTTCAAATAACAAGAAATGAGAAGGCTCCAGTGGATATGAAAATACCTGGATTATTGCACTAATGAGCATAAAATGGGGGTTTTGTTAGTCAAATACCAGCATCCATCCAGCGAGATTCGAGTGCGTACCTTCGTTTTGCGGCTTCTACAACGGTCACAGCTCATGGCCGTGCGATGTTTCCGACCCATCTTACGGTGGCCCGCCATCATGAAATGATCAGTGCTCATTTGAAATCGGGAAGCTGTCAGATCTTGGTTAAGGACAAGGCTGCGGGGCTTCCTGTACGAAACTGGGGACTGCGGGGGTTTGTGGGGAAACGATCTATGTGGGTGGGGACTGGCCAGGCCACATGGTGTAATCATTGAATTTACGTACGCGAGCGAAGTGTTTAAGTGGCGAGGAGGGTTTATGTGATAGCAGGTAGTATCTTCATATTAGGAAGAGTTACATTTTCTTATAATGGCGGTATTGATGCTAGCATTTGATTGAACCTTCAGAAGGACTATGATACGGAGCCCACTCTCAAAACCCCCAGTCTGTGATCATCCGAGCAGGCGGGGCGGTATTAGCGTCTTCTAGCCACTGAGGAGCTCTCATATCCTCTTCGGCCACCTCGTCGCCTGTAATTGGGTGCTTGTAGTGGAAGGGTATCACCCGAGTGTCAGGCCAAAGAACAAAGTCATCAACTATTTCATCAGGGCCCAGTGGATCCGCCGGGTGCGCCTCCTTGAACAAGGGAACAAACTCTTTTGCTCCCTTCCAGCCTGTCTCGAAAGATCCGTGCCAGAATGGGAAATAGCGAAGACGAAGGATCTTCCACACTCCATCCTGTAGAATGTACTCATTCTCGTATAGGCCTCCTTCCCACCACTGTCGGTAGCCACCCGGAAAGTTTGGGGACATGGACTCGTGGGTTCCTGCACTCATGAAGGCACGGATTCTAGCCTTCGCTCTTCCTGCCTTTGGGTCGAAATCAACAATGTCTTGTGCCATGAGGTGATCTAGCAGCCATCCATCAATCGGGCCGTTGCGACCGGCTACAAATCTTTTGGCGAACCGCTCCATATAAAGGCGATGAACTCCTTCCTTTCCTCGGTAGCGGCCGTTCAGGAATTGGACATACGTGTCTGGATGATCGGCGAACAGCGAGGCGACCTATTGGATTATCAGCCTGGGATCTCTGAATACGTGGCCGAGACTGGCGTACCTCTTTGTAAAGGCATTTATCCAAATAGTAGCCGTACTTGTGATGAAGCTTCCTGACATCCGATTCACCTTGGCAATATGAGTAACTTTAACTGCAAAAAAAAAAAATGAATGTGGTTTTACCTCTCAGTATAATAACTTCATTAGCCAGAGTCTCCACTTGACTCACCAGAGTCGTGATTTGTTGCGAGTCCGCCATGATCCTAGATATGTCGATAATAAGGGAGGTAGGAGATCCTTTTGCCGGAGCAAATATACATGGCCTTTGATTTAATGATTCCCTTCATTTTATATTGGATCTGCCTGGTTCGGCTTGAGTTCAGTCGGGAATGCCGAGTCATAACAACCCTTCGGATGATTGAAGCCGATGTCATCCAGACGCCAAAACACTGCATGAGCCATCGGAAAGTATTGGTGACCAGCTCCGCGCAGTAAGCGCCCCAAAAGCCCCGAGCCAAATGAAAATATTCCCTTTTAATGGTCGCCAGATCTCGCGTTTTATGATACGAGAAATCTCTCAATTCTAGCTGCAAGAGTTCTTTTCCTGAAGTCGACATGATGGACGCCCACGAGAACCTGAACAATGACAATCGATTTTTGTCTTTAGTATGGAAAGAGAAGCGCGTTGTTTGCATTTGCATCTTTATCGCGCTGGGTCAATTCCAGTATGGATACGATTCAGCTGCCGTCTCTGGTTTTCAAAGCATGCCTGGGTTTCTCGCGGTATTTGGCTACGTCGATGTAAGTTCCCTGCTGGGCCAGCCTTTCTCGTACAACATTAACACCCCAATAGCCAGAAAGCCCAATAGGATACAATTTGAAAACATCTGTGCAAACCCTTATCCAGAGTTTAATGCAACTTGGGGGATTTGTGGCATCACTTTTCATATTCAAGTTTGGCGCCTTCATCAGCAATAGGGTGGGTCTTTGGACTGGTTGCGCTTTTTCAGTCCTTGCCGTCATCCTCCAGATGAGTAGCATCGACATTGCAGCTCTCTATATGGGTCGTTTATTTTTGGGAGTCTCCAATGGATTCTACCTTACCTATTCGGCTACTTATCTCGGGGAGATTGCACCCACATATCTCCGTGGGTCTGCTGTCGGCCTGGTCACCTTCCAAACCTCCTTCGGTGCATTGATAGGAATCCTTATTGACAACTACACGGCGAAATACGACGGACGCACATCATATTTGATCCCATTAGGGGTCATGTTCATCGTTCCAGCCGCCCTTGCAATCGGGCTCTTATTCCTCCCAGAGAGTCCGCGCCACTATACCCGCCTCGGATCGGATGAAAACGCAGCCAATGCGATTCGTACTCTACGAGGTATCTATGATGAAGACCAACTTGCCGCTCAGGTCGCGACTATCAAAGACGCATGGGTGATTGAGAACAGAGAGAACCAAAGTGTGCGTCTAATTGACGCTTTTCGTGGATCCGATCTCAAGAGAACTATTCTCAGCTTATGTTGCAGTATTTCACAAACTGCAAGTGGTGTCATTTTCTTTGCGAGCTACTCAATCTACTTCTATGCCCAGGCTGGTGTGAAGAACGAGTTTGTTTGGGTGATGATGAGCCTGGCAATTGCGCTTACTGGCAACATGGGAGCCTTTATTGTCATGAAATTCGTCGAGCGCCGGACCTTACTGGGTGTTTCGTCAATAATCAACTCAGCAATCATGTTCGTGATCGCTGGTGTCTATACGAGGCTCAGTGATGGCTCATATACCGCTGCACAAACTCTGGTTGCAATGGGCACTCTGTTCACTTGGATGTATGGAATTGGCCAGGGCCCGGTGCTGTGGGCTCTTACCGTCGAGATCCCTTCTCAACGACTCCGCTCAAAGACCGTAGGTCTCGCAACGGGCTGCAACTATCTCTTTGCATGGATCGCAACTTATTGCTCACCATATTTCATCAACCCTGGCTCGTTGAATTGGGGACCAAAGTACTGCTATATTTGGGGCGTAAGCAACATCATACTGGGGATTTGGGCTTTCATATTTGTCCCGGATGTCGGAGGAAAGAGCTTGGAACAAATTACAAATTCAATGATTACTCACGCCGAGGTCAAAAATGAGGAATCCGGTACTGTTGTGGAGCATCGCAGGTTTGCGCAATCTGAATAGTCTACTAGTATGTCAAATTACGGAATTATCGATCGAAAATATCATTTACTATGTGGCTTTCCACCCGAGAACCCTTAAAAGCCTTAAAAGAAAAATCTCTAGGCATAAGGAAGCAAAATAGATATGAATGCCATCAAAATTGTTTAAGACATGTGTCCTAAGCCTTCAGCGGTAGCTTGAATAGCTTAATTGCATTGCCCCTTGCGACCATTTCCTTCACAGTGGGATCAATATCAACGGTTCTCCACCATGCCTGAGCCTCTTCAACTTGATCGTATGGAGTATCTACATTCGAATTAGCTTCTGGGAGACTATTTAAATATTTAATTATCGCTTACCAATTGAGTATAAGCATCGCTCTTGGCCTAGCTCTTCTATGCAGGACTTCAACCCAGACGTCGAGAAATTTCCCGAAGTTGTAATGAAAACGTTGTGTTGAAAGTAGTATTTATAGTCCTGCTGCGAGGGGCGAGCGATCTTTTTGCTTGGCTTATTATACCAGTGCGATGCTCGCCACAAATTGAATGGGATGCTGAGATTGGTTGTGAGAAAGAAAGAGCATTCGATGGAAATGGAACAGGTCACAACATACTTTTCCCCAAGATGACCCACCACTATCTTCACACCAGGAAACCGATCAAAGATACCTTCACGTTTCAGTTAGCATTCGAATCGAGGGCATAGAATGTACCGTACCCACCTGAGGAGCACATGGCGTAGACGTGAAATGAAAGATCAAGATGGAACTGGACACCGGCACCAAGCAAATGCATGCGTGATGCATATACGGAGCCTCCGTTCGAAAGTTCCTTTGCTGATGGATATCGGGGGTGGAAATAGATTGGCACATCCAGTTCTTCGACCTTTTTCCAGAATGGATCATAAGAAGCAGTATCGTAGTACTGCTTCTGCAAGCCATCTTTACCCATAAGCTGGTAGTCATTGAGGATGCCACCAAAGAATTTCAGCTCTTTGACAGCTCTTTCGAGCTCCCTTGCAGCCTGGAGAGGATCATGCATGGAGAGCGCTGCCAAACCACCAAAGCGACTGGGGGTTTTGGCCACCTCTCCAGCCAGCCAGTTGTTAAACTCAGTAGCTGACTTCGCTGCTAGTTCCTGGTCATGTATACCTTGGCATCCCGGGGAAGTAAGGGACAGCAGCATATACTCGACCCCTTCCGCGTCCATAGATTGCAAGCGCGACCCATGAATGTCCATAAGACGAGCCTTATGGGATTCAACCGATTGTTTGCTTGCGTTTCCTGGGGTTAATATCTGCTGAGATTCATCCAGAAGCCATGCTGTGCTGGGGCTGATGACTGCCTCTTCGACTGCAATAGTGCCTTTAGAAACCATGATCGTGCTTGCTTGGTACAGTAGAAGGAACTACTTTGCTAGGTAGAATAGAATAATGTTCTTGTCTTAAAAAAACCAACGTTAAGAAATTTCCTGGGCTTCTAAATTGTAGAGAAAGCATTTCTACTCTATCGGCATTTCTGACCATCGCGTTTGCCGGCGCGAGATGAAGCGCGGAAGCAATATACCGAGAAGTCGCACAGGATCACAACGGCTTCTGCCATCGGAAAGAAGTCTCCGATCCAGTAACGGAAGATGTGATATAAGCATCAGATTCATGATCTTTTCCAATACGAAAAGTTACCAGCTAAATTGAATTAGACATGGCTCATATCTACGACGTGGCAAATTCGGTCGATTATCCCTATGTCGAGGGTCGGAAGACGGGGAAACAAGTCAAATACCCCAATACGCCTGTCTTCCAAACATTTAATGCACCTTGTCGACTGGAGGGCGATATTGTGGATCTTGAAGTCGATGGAGAGATTCCGCCGGAGATCAATGGGACTTTCTACAGAATACAGCCAGATCACAGATACCCGCCAATTTTTGAGGAAGATATCCATTTCAGTGGAGATGGAAGCATCACGGCTATCCGAATTCAAGACGGTCATGCGGACTTCAAACAGCGTTATGCGAAAACAGATCGCTTTAATGCAGAGACCGCAGCTCGAAAGAGTCTTTTTGGCAGATACCGCAATCCTTATACCGATTCAGAATCCGTGAAGGGGGTTATTCGAACTGTAGCAAACACCAACATTACCTTCTGGAGAGGGATGTTGTTAGCCACGAAGGAAGATGGACCTCCATATGCTATGGACCCAGTCACCCTGGAGACCATTGGCCGCTATGACTTCGAAGGGCAAGTCACATCTCCTACTTTCACGGCACATCCAAAGTTCGATCCAGAAACAGGCGAGATGATTTGCTTTGCGTACGAAGCCGGAGGTAATGGCAATGATGCCTCCTGCGATATCGTCGTTTACACAATCGACGCCGACGGGAGGAAGACCGAGGAGACTTGGTATACGTCTCCATTTTGCGGGATGATACACGATTGTGGCATCTCAAAAAACTACGTTGTTCTTCCCTTAACACCCTTAAAATGCTCGGTCGATCGTCTGAAGAAGGGTGGTAATCACTGGGCCTGGGACCCGAACGAGAGTCAGTGGTATGGAATTGTTCCAAGGAGAGGTGGTAAACCCGAAGATATTGTCTGGCTCCAGGCAGAGAACGGTAAGATGTCCTTTCTATTAACAATAACTACCTAGGTAGCTTCTGACACGGACTGTAGCCTTCCATGGACATGTCGCTGGTTGCTACGAGAACGATGCCGGTCATGTCATCTTTGACCTCACAGTAGCCGATGGAAACGTCTTCTTCTTCTTCCCACCGGACGGAGAAGGCTCCAGTAACCTAGGAGCCAGAAACCAACTGCAGAGCATTACCCATCGCTGGATATTGGATCCGAGCGCTGAGACAGGATCTCACGTCAGGCCAGCAGTCCGGTGGAATACCTCGGGAGAGTTCTCCAGAATCGATGATCGATTCGTCACCAAGAGCTATAATCATTTTTGGCAGGCTCGCATTGATCCGACTAAAGAATATGATGCGGCAAAATGCGGCTCACCGGCTGGAGGACTATTTAATTGCCTGGGCCATTACACCTGGAATGGTCAGACTGAGGATGTGCTCTGGGCGGGCCCATGCTCCACATTCCAAGAGCCGACTTTCATTCCTAAGCGGGGCGGAGAAGAAGGAGAAGGATGGCTGATTGCCTTTGTCAATCGTCTCGATGTTCTTCGAAACGATATTGTGATAGTCGACGCGCTCCACGTAGCTGCAGGTCCGGTTGCAACGATTCACTTACCACTGAAGCTCCGCTTGGGTTTGCACGGAAATTTTGTGGACCATTGCGAGATCGAGACTTGGCAGAAGCGACGAGCACCAGGAGGCGAAATTGGGCCTGTGCAAGCGGCCCAGAAACCACTGGACTGGCAACTCAAGTACAGCTAGAATCCAACCAGTGGCAATATTAGTGGCTGAGCTCAAGGCAGATATAGAGTGTGTTCGAATGTAGTAAATGCTTTCCAGCAATTTATCCTTATTTCATAAGCTTATGCATAGTGTTGATGACATCGAGTGAAAAACCCTGTCGGCCTTTCTGTTCTTGTTGTCTGTGTAAGACAGTCGAATTCTCTACAACCCAGTAACATGGATACAGCCCTAGCCACAGGAGCTCCAACTCGAGTTTAGGCCTCTGTATCCCACTTGGCGCGCGGAGTCATGATTCACCGCAGAACTTAAAAGTGGGTCGGAGGCATCCATCCGAAGCTGCGGCAAGCAGAACTTGACACTCTACCGAACCTAGCTTCACAAGAATTGTTTGTACCGAGAACAGGTTTGGAACTTGACATTACTAATTGTGTCAGATCGCAAGTCAGTCATTCCGTCTTGCATCCACAGTTTCGCTGATCCCTGACGGCCGCGGCACAAGGACACTATGAGTATCACTCAGGAGCCCAAGGTCAAGTCTTTTGAGACGCGCCTTTTCATCAATGGAAAGGTTTGCTCAAGGCGCAGGTATATTATTCAATCCATGCTAAACTTATCAACAGTTCACGGAAGCCTCCGATGGAGGCAAGTTCGACTTGACTTCTCCCGCAACGGGCGAGAAGTTCGTGCAAGGTACCTCTTGTCTTGACCTGAGAATTTCTCATGAGACCTGAGACTAACCTTCAAGTTTGTAGTCTCGGAGGCAAGCGAAGCTGATGCGGATGCTGCTGTTGCGGCTGCGAAAGCTGCATTTCCGGCATGGTCTGCTCTCTCGCCGGACGCGCGAGGAGTGTACTTCAAGAAGTTGGCCACTCTAATTCGCGAGTCACACGATGAGTTGGCTGAACTAGAGGCTTTATCAATGGGCCGCCCGGTCTCGATGTATTTTGAGTCTTTCGTAGCGGCAGACTCTCTGGATCACTATGCCGAGGCTGGCTTTCAGGCTCTGGGAACCTCCAGCTTGAATACTCCGGGATTTGTGAATATAACTCTGCGCCAGCCCTATGGTGTTGTAGCTGCCATAATTCCCTGGAATGTTCCAGTCTTGTTCCTGGTATGAGCAACGTCCCCTAATTTTTTTTTAAAGAAGATTGGAATGAATACTGACAGACCAAAGATTAGCAAAACAGCCCCTGCTTTGATGGCGGGAAATACAGTCGTGGTCAAGAGTAGTGAGAAGGCTCCACTCACTGTAAGTTGAAGAACAGGAACCTCGCTATCTTCCTAGCCGCAGCCTGCTCATTATATCATTCATGATGGTTTAGTCTGCAAAGATTGCAACTCTCATCGAGAAAGTCGGATTCCCACCTGGTGTAATCAACGTCTTGTCTGGCCATGGACATATCTCCGGAAATGTGCTCTCACACCACATGGATGTCCGCGTGTTGAGCTTTACTGGCTCTGGAAGAACCGGTCGTGTTATCACAGCTGCAGCCGCCAAGTCGAATCTGAAGAATGTCATTCTGGAGCTCGGAGGCAAATCTCCGGCCGTTATTTTCGAAGACGCCAATATCGAAAAGGCAGTGGAGCAAACCAAGCACAGTGTGCAATGGAACAGTGGACAAGTGTGCATGGCCAACTCCAGAATCTACGTTCAAGAGTCCATCGCACCGAAATTCATCGAGCTATTCAACAAGAGTTTTGCTCAGATCAAGAGTGGTGATCCCCTTCTCAAGGGCACGAACCATGGCCCACAGGCAGATGAGATCCAGTACAAACAGATCCAGAGCTATATCGAAGAGGCAAAAAAGGTGGGCAAAATGGCGTTGGGATCGGAACCATCAGAGCACAAGACTGGCTATTTCGTTCAGCCGACGGTATTCCTCGAAACCCCCGAAAATACACGGCCAATGAAGGAGGAGATTTTCGGACCAGTGGTGCACATCAACACCTTCAAAACCGAGGATGAGGCCGTCGCAAAAGCTAACGATACTGAATACGGTCTCTATGCAGCTGTCTACACCAAGGATGTTAGCCGAGCCTTGCGGATGGCGAAGAAATTGGAAGCTGGCAGTGTTGGCGTAAACTGCACTAGCCCGACCGGAGCTCGAGACATGCCTTTTGGAGGCTACAAGGCTAGCGGCACCGGTCGTGAGGGTTATACCGTCAGCATGGATAACTACTTGGAAACAAAGAGTGTTCTTATTAGTGTGGACGAAGCCTAAATATATGGATGTGAGGCGCATCTCTTGTTTTATGATTCGTTATCTTACCTTGCCAAACTCCATCAGAAGTCGTAGGCCCAACCCACAGCGAATCCCTAGGCCGGATCGACAAAGCGAGTCGCGTAGTGAGCAAAAGAACCGTGACTGGAAAGACGACTAACATTTCGCCAAGAACATACTTCGTACAATGCAACATGCATCCGACTAGAAGATAGGAAATAAGGACTGATGCTAGTCCAGCTGTAGGTAGTACGCTCCCTGAACCGACGAACAAACCAGTAGCTTTTGGACAATTTAGTTTCGCAAATACCACTGAGGTCATCGGTTCATACCGATAGAGCCGCCAATGGCAATCATCTAGATATACCGAGCTTTTAAGCGACGTTAGAGCGGTCGTACGAGGCGTTATATGCGACACACAAGATATCAGCGCCATTATACCCTTCACAAATTTCTTTGACATAGGTATTGGGGGATTCCTTGAAGCTATCCTGGATTCTATGTCCAAATTATCTCTAAATGGGCCCTGAATGTCCGACAGCTGGGTAACTGAGCTCGCCTGTTAGGCTACTTTCTGGTTTACTCTCCTTTTCCGCCATTCCGATAGCTTTTATTTTTATCCCATCGGAGGTAGAGTGAGGGTTGGCTGTTGCCTAAGTCTGAACCAAAGCGTAGGGGCGTAGAGCGAAATATGACTGAAACCCTACTAAACTCTCCCCCGAGTTGTGTTACTTAGGACAATAGATCCGAAACTAATTTGTAGCTCTGGGGTTCATCAAACGCTTTAATAACCAAACACTTCTGTTTAGCCATTGATCCCGCATTTGAGTCTGGCTGAGCCCGTAATTTTACACGATAGCTCCGCCTTTTCAGATCTCTAGCTACTGTCGGACCCTAAGCTTACCAAAGAGAGCTAGAGCCGAACTACCATCGATTTTTACACAAGTTCTCAGCACTAACGCAATAGGCAAAGTGTAAAGAGTGTTTGTTCCTGATCTCCTCGGCTTCCTAGATACGGCCTAGCGTTATCAGCCCTTGTGCGAAGATGACCCATTTCGCGACTCGTTCAATCTTTTAGCCGCTGCGAGCCCGGAACCGGTCCACTGGGAGTCCGGGCCGGGTCAACTGAAAGTCTGGGGTAGGTTCCACTTGACCTATACCGTCTCTTGGTAGCGTTCGTTGGGTTGCCGGTGGGTCGGCCGGGGACCTGTAAGCGGTGTTTGTTCATAATCTGCGTCCCTAATTAGGGTAGAAGATCGTCGTATTTAATCATTTGCCACTTTATTTGGATTTCAACGCCATCCCTATTCTAGCTCTGTTTTCCACCTGCCTTCCTCGGCAGTCTCTTCAAAATGCGGGGTATGCATCGCTAAGGCGAGCGAAGTTGACTTTGGCCTTTTCTATCTCCTTTCGAAACATACCAATCTCATAGCCACTGTATCGACGTCCCATGTCCCTTATCCAACCCCTGAAGGGGCTGGCCCAACCATGATAAGCTTATCACTTGGCAGCCTCTTAGCTTCGCTATCTCTTCCCCCTTCGGGCTCAGCTAAATAAGATTTCTCTTATCAGCAGCCTTGGGAGTATATCCAAATCATCCTGTTTCGTAATACAGCGCCTCAAACCTGGGCATGGGCGGTGTTAAATGACATCGACTTGATAGCTATGCCGATCATCTATTATCACCGTCTTGGCAAAAACATCCCCACCCTAATCGAGTCTATTTACCGAATCTCAAAGTCAGTGCGCCTATAAATGACTCAATTCCCCTCTTCAAAAAAATTCTTTTGAGTTTCTTGACTTTGCAACGACTCCTACAAAGATGGAGAAGAAGATATCTGCAGAAGACACTCATATTGCCAGCGAGGACGCCGGCTCCGGCACCGTCGTGCCCTATCGCCAGACAAAGCGAGGCCTGGCTTCTCGACATGTACAGCTAATGGCGATTGGCGGCTCTATCGGAACAGGACTATTCGTTGGTATTGGGTCGCATCTGCGTGAAGCGGGGCCGCTGTCCTTGTTCCTGGGTTATCTTGTTTGGGGCTGTCTTTTCATTTTGCCGGTCAATCTGAGCGTGGGCGAGATGGCAGCATACCTCCCCATCAGAGGATCAATATTTGAACTCGCTGCGCGTTTTATTGATCCAGCCTTTGGATTTGCCATGTAAGTTGCGTTCGTTGGTGTTGGGATCGTTCACCGTACTAACTAATATCGCAGGGGGTGGGTATACTTCTATGGCGGTGTCATGTTGGTTTGTACGGAGTACGCTGCCGTCGCAACGGTTATGCAGTACTGGAACACAAGTGTCAATCCAGCGGTTTGGGTTGCTATGGCATTGGTTGTTTGTTCGGCGCTCAATCTTGTCGCGGTGAAATGGTACGGCGAAAGCGAGTTCATCATGGCCTCGACCAAAATCCTGCTTCTGATCGGCCTCGTGCTACTGACCTTCATCACCATGGTTGGCGGCAATCCCAGACACGACGTATACGGTTTTCGAAACTGGAACGACGGCGCGATGTTTGAGTATTATACCGATGGTGTTACGGGTCGTTTTCTGGGCTTTTTCTCTGTTATGGTTTATGCTGCCTTCTCCGTGGCGGGGCCTGATCTGCCTGCCCTGGCAGCTGGCGAAATCCAAAATCCTCGTTACACAATTCCCCGTGTCGTCAAAATGACCTTCTGGCGGATTGTTGGGTTTTACGTCGTTGGTGTCTTGGCGGTCGGTATCATCTGCAATCCACATGACAAACGCCTCATGTCTGCCATTGACTCCGGGGCAGCTGGTTCCGCGGCGTCCCCGTGGGTCATTGGGATTCAGAATCTTGGTATCACCGGTCTTCCTGACCTGATCAACGTGCTCATCCTATTATCTGGCTGGTCCTGTGGAAACGCCTATCTATACAGCTCCAGTCGCACGCTCTACTCCCTCGCCCGAGACGGCCAAGCCCCGAAATTCCTTCTTAAGTGTACAGCGTCGGGTATCCCCATCAACTGCGTGCTCGTTGTTTCTATCCTATCGTGTACCACTTTTCTGGTGGCCGGCTCTTCGTCTGTCACGGTCTTCTACTGGTTCGTCGATCTAACCACCATCGCCTTCGTCCTCACTTACACAGGCATGCTCTGCGTGTTCATCGCCTGGTACCGTGCTCTGAAAGCACAGGGCATCGACCGCAAGAGCTTTGTTCCCTGGAAATCGCCATTCCAACCTTACTCTGCAATTTTCGCGATTATCATTGGTTGCACAACGGCCTTGTTCAATGGCTTTTCGGTATTCAAACCCTTTGATGTGCAGGGCTTCATTACTTGTTATTTTGGCCTGGCATTCTGGGTGGTCATGTTTGTATTCTGGAAGGTGTATCATCGAACTAGATTAGTTGAGCCAGTTTCTGCGGACTTGCATTCAGGAAAGGCAGAGATTGATGAGGAGTGTAGGGAATGGGAAGAGGGTGGATTGGAACAACGACGGAAGGATGAGCTAGCGCAAATGAGTTTTGCACGCCGAACATGGGAGAGGATGTGGTGATTCACGGTAGAGAAGCCTTCAGCTAGTATACAAGAAAGTCAAAAAACGCATAGGGCTTGTATGTTCAAAGGGCAGTTGCCGTGCACATAAGCTAGTAGGGCTGCATATGGCTCTGTGGTGTTCGTTGCTTGCTGCTATCATGTGACAGTCGCGCTCGTTTTGAGAGAGAAGCTGCAATGCCCTATAGGCTTACGTAGGCCTCGAAAGGGTCGGGCGGTTACACGTCCCTTGCTTGTTGCATTCGAATCCATTTAGAGCACAGGACCTTTCGCACTTGCTGCAGAAAATTCTACTAGCTAGGAGATTAAGGAGGTAGAACAACGAGTACAATTAGCGGGGGGTTACTGGATGCGACCTCGCGTCAAATTGTAAACAATGGAGATCAATAAAGGGAAGCTGACTTCAAAAGTATAGAAAACAAATCACGTGCTGGTGGATTATGGGAAGACCATTACGGCCCCATTTTGGCTGTGTCTCATCTTCAACCTTCTTTATCACTTGTCACATTAGGAGTTTTGAACACCCGCAAGCCTTAAGCAATGGGATTGGACACTGAATCCTTAGCTGTGTCACCTCAATACGAGGACGCAAACGCACACGCCAGCGACATCCTAGAACCGACCGTCCTCGAACTATCCAATCAATCGATTCTCAGCGCCTCCACACCGGTCTACCAATTGAACGGGAGCGTAACAACAACCTCACTAAAGGGATCATCTATCATATTCGAACGAATAAACGGCACACCTAACATAACAGACGAAGCAGCTCCTAAATCAAGGACGAAACATCTCTTCTACCTCGTCCACCCATTAAACGCAGAATACCGAACCGACGTCCCGGCATACTACATCACATCCGCCTCAGGAGACGGGACGACAATTGGCAATATTCGCTTCGAAGTATCTAAGAAATCGATATTTCAAAAGACCGAATTCAAAGCACTCTTAAGCCCAAAGAGAAGCGCATCTGATACTCCCTTATTTACTGATGCCGAAAAAGTTCTCTTCCACGTTCAGCCTAAATGGAAAGGTGGGCGGTATGAATGGGTAGATTCGGATAGAAAACATCTTGCGTTCCAGGATAGCAAGGGTGATCAGCAGAAGCTGATCATAACTATGGCTATGCGGAGGGAGGTGAGAGATGCGTTAGTTGCGTTGTGGATGTTGAGGATTTGGTATGATACTGCTGAGAGTAGGCAGGCGAAGAGAGAGGGTGAGTACATAGCTGAGCTCAGTCTGAGTCTTTGCAGAGATGGTTATTACTAACACGTTTGATTTGTTTCCTTTCAGCGATGGAAAGCATGGCGCCACCTTCTTGGGCAAATTATTCGAATATGAAGATGTCTAAAATAGGAGCATTTGGTTCTCTTGCTGGAGGAGGTGCAGGTGCTTGATTTTCAAATTGTCCACATTTGCTAAGGACAAGATGGATGCCTCAATTCGTCTCGAATTCCTTTACCAAGACTTTCTCTACCGACAAGTAGTTAGGAACCCTACTAGTCTAAAAAAGAGAACTGAGAGGTATTCAACTAAAAGGGCCCTTGCTGTCTTTGTGCTTTAAAAGAGACCCATGATATTCATCGCTAGGTCAAAGCAGATCCAACCAAAGAAAATCTAATTGGCTCCGTAGAATCATATTCCGTGTTTCGTTCATGCTGAGGTCAGGTGACAGTCGTGCTCGTGTTCGTGTTCGAGGGATGAAGGGAGGGGAAGTGGATGGACTCCAATTATAGTGACTCACGTTCTCCCCTCTGTAAACTCCCTCTCGTCACCAAGTAAAAGCCATGCCTACGTTCTACGAGTCCATTACAGACGATCTGCGAGACTGGGCTCTACGCCAAAGTGTTTTCTTCGTGGCTTCCGCTCCTCTGCGTGGCCGACATGTTAACCTATCTCCAAAGGGCTTACCGGATTCTTGCCTTGCGGTACTCGGCCCAAACCAGGTAGCGTATATCGATTCAACCGGGTCTGGCTGCGAAACTATCTCCCATGTGCGCGAAAATGGTCGCGTTACCGTGATGTTCTGCTCGTTTGATGCGTCTCCTCGTATCATGCGGCTGTTCTGTACCGGTTCGGTTATCGAGTGGGATCAGCCCGAGTTCCTTCGATATGCAGAGCGCATGGGAAAACCAGGGCTTGTGGGAGCGCGTGCTATTATTAATCTTGATGTTTTCAAGGTTAGCATTTGTCTCTGACGTGACTTGCGCTCGAGGATCAATCAGTCTCTTTCTAAAACTGATATATCTCCCGAACCTAATCCGTCCTGAAGCTGTCCCTCATGACTCTGATTTGACTCTGTATAACAATATCTCCAGGTCCAAACCTCCTGCGGCTATGGCGTCCCGCTATTGTCCCTAGCAATCGATCCTGAAACCAACCAATCCAAGCCCTATCTCGAAGACCGCCAGACACTAGCTCGCTCTGCCGCCAAAACGGCTAGTGCTGGGAAGATGCAAGCATACCAGCAAGAAAACAATACCCGCAGTCTTGACGGACTCCCAGGCCTCCGATCTGCGCTTAAAGACAGCGGCCATTATATATGGCGGGTGAAGTTAGAAAATTGGATGAGTCGACACTGGAATGAGGTTGAAACAGGGAAGTTGTTGGCTTTGCTTTTGTTCGTGGGGTTGGTGGTATTGAGGTGGGATGAGTATGCTTTACTGTTATGGACCTGATTCTGTGCATTTGAATCTTCCATTACTGTAAATTCATGTGAGATTCTTCTAGGAGATTGTCACTATATTATAATGGTGGGTATCCCTGCATTTCAGAATAGGGAGGTGGTAACGGCAATTTCCCAGACCGAGGTATTCGTGATATAGATCAAGAATTCAAAATATGTGCGCGTGAAGGCTCGGGGAAGAAACTGAGATAATGAGCTCATTATAGGTCCTCTAGCTGCTTTCCCTGACGAGGTAGGAGAATGCAATCCCGGGCTGGACATCAAATCTACTAAAGGCTTTTGGGATAGAAGTTTGCTACCAAGATAGGTATAGTAGACTACGAGTATCCTCTCAGACTGCAAAGGAACAGGAATATTATTGAATACAATATCAGAGCAAGAGTACATTCACATAGTCTTGGGCAAGAGTAATCTCCAAGGAAACAAGAAAATACACAAGTAACCCCCTTTCTATATCCTACACATTCTAGAATCACCTTCTCAACCTGGCAATGAACAATCAACAGATGAACAAAAAGCCTTCATAGAAACGAAAACAAATGCATAGAACAACTCCATACACCACATATAAATTTAACTTCAACTTCAACTTCAAATTCATCTTCGCCATCCCCTCACCCTCAACCACGAAAATAAGGCTTAACATAATGATTAAGAACAACAACATTCTCAAGTACAATGCCTTACTGCGAGTAGCAAATCTGCCACGCGAATAAGTAGGCGCCGGGACCTTAACACGAGCCGGGGCCTTAAAAGGAGACTCCGACGGAAGCAGAGTGGTCACGCTGGAGCCAGGGCTAGGAACACCACCGGCCGTAGCAGTGCCATTCATCTTCGCCTTGGCCTTCTGAGCGATAGAGAGCAGGTACGCGTAGAAGAGGAAGCAGCACCCCCGAATGAGCTTGAGGAACCGAACTATTTCTCGAAAAATGCGGTCCATAAACCTGTAAATGATTTTATTAGGTGTTGGTCTTTGGGAATACGTCGGGTGGAATGTACGCACCTGTATATTCTCGATGCCGTACAGGAGAGAACGTGGTAGAACGCCCATATGGCTGTGAGAGACAGGAGGATGATCAAGCAGATAAATGCAGCTCGCTCTCCCTCAGTGAGTCTCTCGGTGTAAAGTTCTCGTGCCACGAGGACGGTGGCAGTTTTGAGTACAGAGGGTGGGATAGGCGCCATCGATGACGGTTGATCTTCCGTATACAAGGCTGAAATAAGTATTATGGGAAATGCCAATTTCTTTCGAAAAAGTGATGGAACTGAAGAAATGAAGAAGAGAAAAGGACAAGAGTTAGGGGAGAGAGGGAGGCCTACTTGTAGCGGTCAAGTTCGAGGGCTCGTGATCTATTTCCTAATCGGGGAATCGGGGACTCATCAGGCATAGGATCGAGAACAACTAGTACAGAAACAACCATATAATATATTTGCATCATATAAATCGACCGAGAAACTAATTTCCTCCGATGAGGTTTCGGTCATTTCAATCCAGAAACACGTCCGGCGTCCGGGACACAGACACGGAGAAAGGAATACACACACCACGAACTCCATATCCCGAACGATCAATCCTCAGACGCAAAGGAAGGAGAAGAAATAATCATGAAGACCTCGGCGAGGCCCTCCGCTTGAGATCCCCATCTTCCGCAACCTGCGGCCCAGAAGACAAATTCTCTTTCCCATCGCGAGGATCAGTATCCGCCTCCTTCCCCTCTGCATGCAGCCCTTCCTCACCCTCTTCATCGTCCGGATCATCAACCCCGCTCAACCCCAAAACCCTCACAGGTCCCTCATTAAAGCTCGGTGCCCGAGGACGCTGCTGTCCGCGCGCGCGACCACCGACAACGGGGAGTTCATAGAGAAGCAAGTGGTAAAGGTACAGGATTGCGTCGAAGACGAGGAGAACGCCCCAGGGGACAATAGTTATGAGGCCTAGGACAAACTGTGCCATTTGCGGGGGTGGGTTAGTTATCTCGTTCATATACAGTGAAGGTACCGAGGTAGGAGGTAGGTCCGGGTAGGGGCTTTTGGAACGGAACGTACGAAGACTCGCGCGGCCCAGCTTTCGAGGTGGATGAGTTCTGCTGGGAGGATGGAGTACCACGCCATTTGTCTTTGTGGTGTGATGCCGAGAGGTGAAAGGATATGTTGTGCTGTCGGGGGCTTTTGGGTTTGTTCTGGTCTTGGTTGATGAAGCGTTTCTTCCCAGCTTAATGTTTGTGGTAGTGCAGTGCCTCCTCAAGATCCGATTCAAGGGCTGGGTATCACTCTCAAGTCCGTGTCGTGTACGTCGTATGTTCCTTTAAGCAACGCCCCATATACAGGAAGCTCAAAATAACGAACGCAGCTGCTGGGTGCTGAACAACGACCTGCCTTCCTTCCCCTCCCGCACGGTCCCTCGGCCGTTCGATGCGGGAGTCAGGCAGGCGGCGGTGAGACACGACCGAACCGCGATCGGATATGGTGGCGATCCGACGAAACTCACGCTCGGATGAGGGAAGTTGACTGATTGATTGGGGTTCAGCGTAAGTGAGTGTAGGTGTGAGTAACAAGATGAAGCAGCTGGGGAGGCCGAGGGAGAGAGCTGGGGGAGCTGATAACGATAAGGGGAGCAAACATTGTTTGTTCACGGCCTGAGGAACCGAAGCTGGAATTACTGCTACAGACAGAAGATTGATCGCGCAGTCAGTTATAAACTAAATGTACAATTGGCAATATTGACTAGATCGTGATCTCGTATAAACAGTGAATCCTGTTCGACTCCATCCAAAAATACAAATTATGTGCAAGATTTCTTTTCCAGACGACTTCCGCAAAATCTACCGCGGCGCACGGTATGGCTCGTAGGAGGTGTACGACGAAGGCTCTTCTTCCTCCTGTCCCACAGGCCCATATCCGCCTGTCCGCCAGCGATCTAACGTCCCCGGGTCGTTCTGCGCAGGGCCCTGCGCCTGACTCAACAGCCTGGTCTCGCTCTCGTTTGACTGTTGATAGAGACCACCGGGCGCGCCGCCGCTGTTGGTCCGCGAATGCGGCACACGGAAAGCCGGGTGGACCAGAGGGGCACCTTCGGAGGAAGGCATTTCGTACCCCTCGTACATTTTCAGTCCAGCCATCGATGGCAGGGATGGCGCGGGAGACGAGGCACGCGACGACGAGGGCGACCATTCTCCGCCCAAGGTGCTGCGCGGGGTCTGGGAGCGCTCTGTCATCAGATCTTCTGGTCGGCCGTAGATACCGCCGCCGAACTCGTCGCGGAAGTCCGGACGGTCCTTGAAGTACGAGAAATCCAGCTGGCTCTCGGGGACGACCTCGAATGGGGCCGGGTCTGCGGATTTGCCGGGCCGTGAGGCCATCATCGGGTCCATGGCGATGTCGGAGTACTCGCCTCCCATGTCGCCGTGATCCAGACGGCCCTGGTAGATCTCCTTGAGTGCGGCGGCGGCCTTGGCGTGCACCATGGGCGTGATGAGAGGTTTGTACAGGGCCGGATGTCCGAACTTGGAGTTGAGCCGCTCAGCCGCCTTCTTACTGAGCTTGCCCACACCTCCAATCGCCTCGGCGTCGTTCAGGTTGGCGCGGTTGTAGTACTTGCACTCTTTATCGAAGACCTTGAAGCAGTAAAACTTGAACCCCAGCATCAAGAAGGGCAGAGGTACCACAGCGAACACCATGGACCACGAGCCCATGACCTTTGCGACCAGGGCGATGACGACGTTCGCAAGAATGGTGGCAAACACCATACGGTTGAACAGAACGCGCCAGAACATACCTCCAGACTCGTTCTTGGTAATGAAGACATACAGCAACAGGTACTTCTTTAGCACGGCGTCCATGCCGAAATACAGCGCAGTCACCGGCAGGACAACCGGCTGCAGAGTGGCGAAGCAGAGCGCGACAGTCGAGTAGAAGAGGAAGTAGTTGTAGTAGCTGGCGTAGTCGAAAGCCGGCGGCGCAGTCCACTCAATGGCTTGTCGGGGGGTAGGGGCAAGGAAGGTCTTTGCAAACCAGACCCAGACCAAGTTGATCACCTGCACCAGGTCGATAGTGGCACCCAAGTTCCGCTGCAGGAGCCAGGTCACCCAGAACGGCGACACGGTGCAAAGAGCGTTCATGGCCTTGTTGTAGATTTGGCCTTCTTGGATTGCCTGCCACGCGCTATCGTCGTCGTCGCTCTTTTGAATTACCGTGGACACAAAGCCCCACGCAGCGGAGAAGAGTGAGAAGACAATCAGGTTGTTGAAGACGAAAAACGAGTATAGATGCGACAACACATGGCGCTCTCGAGATGTCTTGGTCTTACTACCACCCTGGATGGAGAGCCGGCGGAAGATGATGGGCAGCACCAGGTAAACCAACGAAGTGATGGCTGGTGATGCGATACCCTGTACAGCAGCCCAGACATTCGGATGAGCTTCCAGCGAGATCTGGAAGTCATGCCAAACGAGACCGAGATTCGCCAAATTGGAGAGAAAGACAGCAATCAAGGCGTTAGGCGCGATCCACACAAACGTCAACAGAGTAACCCAAAAAATATTGATCAGCCGCTTCCACTTGCGCGCTTTCTTGGACAGCGGCAGGTTTTCCCAGATCAGATCGCTTGGTCGGGGCGCAAGCCGAACGGTGGTACCGCGAGGTTGCTTCTTACGGGCAGTCCACGCAACGGCGTGGGCGTGCTCAATCTTGTCCCAACTGGCAAAGCCAAAGGGCATGGCATTTCGTCGGTCGATCGAGGCCCGGCCATGTTTGACTTCTTCCTCCAAGACCCGGATGCGCACCGTGAGGTAGTCGATGGCGTCTACCTTGCCATCGGGAAGCTGGCCCCGCTGGGATCTCGGTGGGCGCATCATAGGTCGGTTCGCAGGTAGTTGATCAGGCCGTTTGAGGTATTTGGCCAGTACTTTCTCCAGCTCCCGCACGGTCTCATCATGCTCCTTAATAACCAGGGGCAGATCTCGGACGTTCCGGCCGATGGAGGCACGGGGCAGAGCGGCAGTGGGGTTGATCTCATCGGTAAGTCGCAGAATACCTTCGTCCGAACGGTCGGGGGGAGGAATATCGCTGATCATGAGGGTCCGCGCATGCATGCTGCGCTGATAGTCGGAGCTCTGGAAGTACCTTCTCCGTAGATCCCGCACAGCGCGATAGTTTCTCCACAGGAAAAAAGCAACGACAATATCAAAGACCCAAGCACACACAACCTGGCTCCAGATAGCTTCGGGGTTGGTGATATAGAGCGGTGTGAATTTGGAGAAGACAGACAGGCCAGAGGAAATATCGTTGCCGTGACTCTGGACCACGTTGACGGGGATCATGACGGCGCAGCCGATGATGCTCATGATGATGAAGATGTTGCGGCACATCTTAGTGAAACGCAAGAAGACAGCCGCGTCCAGGCCGACAGTGTCGACCAGCTCGGACTCGGGCGTGGACAAAACGGGTTTGATCCAGGCGAAGAAACCCTTGCCCACCGGGGGCGGAGAGTGTTTTTGGTCTGCATGCTTGACTTTGGGCGCATAAACCAGCGAGTGGCGGGGTCGGAAAAGGGAGAAGAGGAGGGTGAGGAGGATCGAGATGCCGATGGAGGTGCCCAGAGAGGCCCAGACGGCGCTGACCGTGAACTATGAGGCAAAGATTAGTCGACGCATAATTTTCTGGAGGACAGATCCAAACCCACGGCCGACTGAAAGGGATTTGCGATCAGCTTCAGGAACTGGTCAGTCCCTGCAGTGTCTCTGGACCACAAGGTCGCGCGGAGCGGATCCATTGCGTCAATGTGGCAGATGAAGCGAGTGACAAGCCGGCATGAAGACAGAGCCGGTGGTGGTGGGGAAGGGGAGCGAGGAACAGGGGAAAGAATATATTAAAAAATCAATATGAAGCAGCAAAAACCAAAACGAGAGGATAAAGAACAGGGTGCAGGGAAAAAAAAGAAACGAGAAGAAACGAGGTGAGACAGACAGGCGCCCCAAGAATGAAAGAAAAGTGGGTTTCAGGTGGAGGAGCAAGTCGAGACTTTATTATTAGCAGACGAGCGGATCGTGGACGGATTCTAGACCGTTGGCCGATCCTGACGTATCATCGTCTTTGAATGGGTTTGCACAGACACACGCGCACACATACACACATACACACACACACACACCAGAGTTCCTGTTCTCGAAAGTGGTTCGTTCCACAGCCGAAGGCGTGCCTGGGTGGCGAGTGTGTCCACGGCCTGGCTCCATTGTGGCTTCGTTATTGGCAGACCGGCTGTGCAGTGGCCAATCAGGTGTGCCGGGACGGGCGAGGTGTAACAGGGGAAGGGAGATACCGCGGTGGCACAGCATTATGATCATCGAAGTTCTGGCACGACAACAACCCAATTGTTGTTAGGAACAGCAGTAAACAGTCGTCTGATCCGGTCACATTCTGGAGTCAGGTGATGATGTTTATGCCTCAGGTGGGATTTATGCCTGAGGCAGCGCTCCATTTACGGGAACCGGCGCTAGTACCACTACGGATAAGGATTCACCAGGAACGACAGCCATGTCGGCTAGGGACATTCATTAAACGTGTCGAAATACATCGCTACATACAATTTCCTTTTTGTGCGTGCTTACTTACAGCTGGCCCGCAGTGTTGAAGTCCTCAAGGGCCTCCTGGACACGCTTGCTCATGCTCTTCTCGCCCTCGCGGACCCAGACGCGGGGGTCAAAGAACTTCTTGTTGGGCTTGTCCTCACCATCCGGGTTACCCACCTGCTTGAGGAGGTAGTCCTTCTTGCCGAGGACGTAGTCGCGCACGCCGGACAGGTAGGCCCACTGCATGTCGGTGTCGACGTTGACCTTGACGACGCCGTAGCTGATGGCCTCCTTGTACTCGGCCTTGGACGAGCCGGAGCCGCCGTGGAAGACGAAGAAGATGGGCTTGTCCTTGGACGACTTGATCTGCTCCTTCACGTAGGCCTGG